TTTTCGTGGTTTCCCCCATGTGTAACGTGTATACGAGCCATTTTCCCTTAGAAAGTCGTCCACGAAGGCATCCCTCCCTTTAGGTAGATAGCCCTCGAGGTTTTGTCATAATCACACACTAAATGGTGGCGAGCAGTGCCCCGCTGTAATTTTATTTCTTCGTTTAGCACTGCTCCATAATCGCTCCGCAGTTTGGATACGGCATCCGGTTTCGGGGTCTATAAAATTATAACTGTGATTCACAGTGGAAATTTCAGAATTTCTTAATTCCCCTTTTTATAGCCTTTCTAGCAGTTTGAAAATATTACGCTGCCATCCGCAATGTTTCCTAGATGGCAGTCATCAATGTTGTAGCACAACGATCGGGAAACACAGACCAAAAAACATTATTTGCTTTCCAGCACAAACACTCTCCCGAATACCATTGTTCCGGAAGAACATATCCAATGTTGTCTTTTCTTTTTGTGAAAAGACTTCCGTTCTTACGATTTTGTTGTTTCCGCCGATTTTATTTCTTTTAGGAGACTAGAGATTATTTCTACATAACTCACTCAAGTAGTTATTCGAACTATTCGAATCCACTATCATATTATGGCTGATTTTTAAATGAAGTTAGCAAAATTCAATCGACGTCAATTCCTGACATCAGAGGTAAATAAAACAAACAGCACTGAGAAAAGAAAGACGCAAGTGTTCAAACCATATTTTGGTTCTCAATGCTTTTTACTTCCTTGTACGAGGTACAAAGGAAGTATCGTAATCGCGAAAAGATTCACGCATCATATTTCAACGCAAATATCAATTTCACAGTTACCGAATGCAATTTAACGATGTTTTTGCGGACACTCGTCGTAAGGACAGGATAAAGGCCTCTTTCCCCCAAAAAAATTGAAAACTATTTAAATGAATCTGAAAGAATTTGTCGTGGCGTCGTGCGTAGTCTGACGTATTCGCATAATCAAAACGAGTACTTCAGAAGTTGAATTTTGTAATCGGACGCTTAACATGTAATGTGCACCCCGATTTTGGTTGCAAGCGGCCCACCAAAAGTATATAATATATGTTATAGATATCACTCGTTTCCGGCTCGGTGATTCAGTCTATGTTTATTGTTGTAAATGTAATGTTGCTTAAAAATGATGGTATATGTTGTTTTTATCTACGGATAGGTTTTATGCCTTTAGTAAATCTGTAGGCAATATTTTAGAATTATCAACATTAAAAATTGTTTAAGTGCCACTAAGCCTAATAATTTTTTCCATGGGCCATTGCTGTTTACATTTGAAACAGCAGAATAGTAGATTTGTTGCCAATCTAGAGAAAGTAAGCTTCGCAATAACAAAGATAACGCCTTCTTTTATTAAGCGAACTAAAAATCATGCTTAATCCATTCTGGAATTTATTCGAGGAAATAAGTGTTTAAGATTTACTTCATAATTTTCAATCCAGACATCAGACAACTTTTAAAGTATTTTTGCCTTATCGCGAAGTGAGAACTGAATTAATTGAATGAGAAATACTGAATCGTTTGTGAAAAACTTTCTTTTTTTGTTGTTCTTTGCTTAATTTCTTTCACACAACGTTTTAGATTTATTATAGAATTTGAGTAGAACATGTGGCAATGATTCGATAATTAAGATAATATAAACTTTGTGCATTCTGAGTTAAAAAATGAATGAAATATAACGCTGTTAAGTGAACCTAGGACCAGAGTATCGCTATGGTGAACAAATATAGTGAATTTTAAGTAGTGCATTTATTCTATTGTGGTTTACGCGCTATCGACGAAGTAGATTTAATTCAATCCAATAAGTTTAATGGAAATGCAAGAAAAATTGGGTATAATTTAATTCCGTACAAGGAGTCATGTGGTGCACACATAATTTTTTTTTTTTTTACAGAAGAACGCACGTAACGACGCCATATAGGAGTTTTGTTTGAGTCAAAAGGTACCTTCATCGGATGATTTTGAGAAAACAAGTCAATTGCTATGAATTATCCTTTGTCCTGAAGGAATTTTTATGGTAGCCTCTTCGTCATTATGTAATTTCAAAATTGCATCGTACTAAAAAAAAATAGCGAAATATGGAAAAAAACAAAATACCGTATGATGATATTTCAAACGAAAACTGGAAATCTCGAGCCATGATATGTGGCGTGTTGTAGCATTTTTTTCTTCTAATTTTTTCTTCATTTTTAACTGACGCCGCTTTAACGGAATAGTACTAACGTATAAGCGATGAAAATGCACAACCATCACGAATCAGCTGTTTTTCCACTGTATATATATATATATATATATATATAATGAGCGTAACTCTGTTCTAGAATAATCTGAACTTACAAAACATGAAACAAGTCTACTTCCTTCTCGACGCTTGGGTCTTTTTTTCGGCTTGTTCTTGTGAAATAATAACTACGAGGGAGGTATTTCCCAAGAGCATTCAAGGAAAATTGTCAATGAAAAGTCAAAAGGCGTATGATTGATTCCAGTCCATGAATTCTAGGAATCTATTCAGTAATTGTATTGGCTCTAACAGCACTGCTTTGTGGCCTGCGGATATTACTTCCAAAAATGAACATGCAGAACCGAAACGTGATACTAGATACATATTCAACACGACTTCAAACTTGATATCTCTAATGGCATAATTTTTCGGTAGTGATAGTCACAGAACTGCTTTTACCTGTACAGAGTCTAATTGTTTAATGGATTTAATTCGTATGGGTTGTTCGAAGAGCGATAATTCATAAACTAATACACATTTTCCAAGTCGATTAATGAAATCGATAGTACCATAATCATTTCTCTGCATTAAAAGAGCTAAATATTTTTTCTCTAAATCCCCTGAGATATATATTCTAAAATAACACGAAAAACTTCATAGAATAGTTATGATTCTGTTTAATTAATATTCGCTTCCTTCATAGAAAACACTGTACTCCTGATGCAATCATGAGGTTATATTGTAGAAACATTAGGTTAATTGGAAGCAGGAAAGATGAAAAATGAGCAACCGCCTTCACCGGGAATCGAACCGCGGACATCTGGAATACGCTCCCCGCGTGCAGACCACACCACGAAGGCATCTTAAGGGAGGCGGGAAAAATACCATACAATATAACAAACTTTTCTTTTATTATATTTAATTTTCCTGCTCTCGCAATGCATGATATATGTCAAGTTTTCAGTTAACTTCTAAGGTATTTCTCCCTTCTCCTTAACATGCCTTCGTGGTGTAATGGTCAGCACGCTCGACGCGTATTCGAGAGATCCGTGGTTCGAATCCCGCCGAAGGCACTGCTCATTTTCCCTCTCCCCTGCTTTCAAAAAGTACCTAATGTGTCTACAGTGGCGCCCGAATTAAAAAAAAAGGTGGTGGATGATGATTTTCCACCACCCGGGTTTGGCGACTAACCCAGTCGTCCTTTAAAAGGGGAAGTATATAAGTTATTTTCCCCCACATTATTAGCGTGCCTTCGTGCGGTAGTGGTCAGTATGCTCGGCGCGTATTCGAGAGGTCCGTAGTTCGAGTTCCGGCGAGGGCATTGCTGATTTTTCTTATCTTGGAAATAACCTATTGTCTCTACAAACTCATTAAAAAAAACCCAAAGAAATAGAATACATTTAAGAAAACAACATATAAACTGAAAGCGGCATTTTTGACTTTTTCGTTCTCTGGATATATTAATTTATTTTTCATCAAGAGATTCGAAACTTTGTATTAGCCTCTAAAATTAAACATGCTAACTTCAATGAAAGGTTATCTGTCATTAAAACTATCTTTATCCTTCTGCTACACTTTTTCTGTCCTAACTTTAATGTGTGTGTGATTACGGCAAAGCCTCAAGGGCTATCTGCCTAAGAGGAGGGATGCCTTCGTGGAGGACTTTATAAGGGAATCTGGCTCGTATACACGTTACACATGGGGAAAACCACGAAAACTCCCATGCAGCCAGCCCGTTCGCAGGATTTGAACCTCGGACTGAGCTAGCAGTGTAAAGCGACTTTACCGCTCGGCCGCTGGTGGGCCCTAACTTTAATGACAAAGACTCTGTCTTCCTTCATCACTCGAAATGTATCTCTTCACTTAAATTCTAATGTTCTGTGCTTAAGAAGCTATTTTGAATAGCTTCAAACTCCTTCTCCCACTCTGCACCGTCATAATCGAGAGAAAAATATCACAGTTAAAAATGCTAGGGGTGAAAATTATTTTGTTTGTTTGTGAAGATTATCATCAATCAGTACAAGTATTTCTAGTTGCCTGAAAATGAGTTAGCATTAGTAACTGTATAGGTAAGTTAAAATGCTGAGGCTTACCTACACTGTAATCTCCAACTAAAGTCATAGTGCAAGGAGCAACGCATTCTGTTTGACCATATCCTTCGAGAATCTGAAAATAAACCAAAGCTTTATCTTCTTATACGCATATATAAGTCATTTTTAGTTTTATCATTTATTTACAAGCTCTGACGTAACTAAAATTCTAAAAATAATCAAATTTGTTTTGTTTGCTTCTGGAAAAAAGTACATTATATCAAGGAATTTTGCTATTACATACATACGGAATGACGATTTCAGAAGAAGCACAGTTAGGATTGTCGAAACAAGAAAATTTGCATGCATATTAAAACTAATTTCTCGAATAAAATTATCAACTTAAAATTGTTTTTATACTAGTTTCCGTTAAGGAAGAAAATATTCAAATAAAAACGGTGACATTAAATTCGATGAATCGTAACCAGCCAAGCGATACCTTTGATATTATTGTAAATAAATGAAAATATTTGTTTTTTTTTATTTCAGCGTATTTTGTTTTCTGTTCACTTTTAGAATGTTACGAATTATTAGTCCAAAGGGACAATTTCCCCAGAAGAACTATTAATTTTGTTTTGGCATTTTGCGTTGATTCACTACATTTTGCGTCGTTTCACTATTCAAATTGTTGCCATCAAATATTATCGCTGTGTATTATATTTAAAGAAATTAAATTATGAAGAATCTGCCTAAATGTATATATGTTTCTCGCATTGGCATAAAACAACGGTACCTAGAGCCATCCAATTTTGAATAACGTAATCCTCTTGCGAATATGGACATATGGAAGTCCAAATTTGAAATTTGGAAATTTGTTTTACTATTGATTTCATATTTTGTAAAGCTTTAACGAATTTTTAATTAATAAACTCAAGAATTTCAAAGCGAGCAATGGCAACGTTGTACAGAAAAACACTTTTATCTCCAGCGAGCGAGACTCTGTATCGGAAATTCTAAGCATAGGCTCAGTTTAAAATTATTTTGCGATATTGCTCTTGAATTAAGCAACAATCTTAAGCTGAATTTTAAGTGGTTTAAGTGCGAAGAACATGGATATTTAATAAATAAAGGTAACACACAAACGCCCCTTTGGACGCAATTTGAAATCTGAAACCTTTCAGATTTTAAGACACAATAACACGCCGAATAAATACTAATTCAGAAGTCAAACAACAAAAATCAGCGTTATAGTTACAAAATTTTCACAGGACTAATTTCGATGGTTTTACCGAACCACCATCTTCAGCTGCAAAACCGCAAATGAACAAGATAGGAAATAATGATTAGATAAGATAAGAAATTATGTTTTAGTTCTGGTTTCTACAACAGATGGCGCCACTTACTTATTCTTGGCCAGGCTTTCTTATCTTATCTAATCATTATTTCCTATCTTGTTCATTTGCGGTTTTGCAGCTGAAGATGGTGGTTCGGTAAAACCATCGAAACTAGTCCTGTGAAAATTTTGTAAATATAACGCTGATTTTTGTTGTTTGACTTCTGAATTAGTACTTTCAGATTTTGTTTTAATATGTATATATTTTTTTCTTCCTTTCTCTTTGTTTGTATGACAATTTTAGAATGTATTTTTGTAAAATAGAATTTGTGGCCTCGTGTTTTATTTGCAAGTGTTTATTGCATATATTTTGCAATTTTGAATCTATTAACGTTTAAGTTGGGGAAGAAATTCATTTAAAAACCGAGATACTACAAGCAGAAAACCTTACGGCAAAATTTCGCAACATATTTTTTGGCAACTTAGTGACTTTTTGGAAGCTTTAGGAAAATATGTTTTTGAAACGTAAGAGCAGTTCCCCCCACCCCCGGAACTTACAGAAGACTGGGAAAACGCTCTCTATACGGCTGCTTTTGAGCAGTGAAAAATAGTTCAGTTCAGTTCAGAATCAGTTGAATAATTAGTTCAGAAATCTACGGTTGGTTCTTTAGAGTTTATTCTACGAGTGATACCGGTAATCTGCGTTGTTGCTCTGGGTTAAGGTTAACAATAATTTACCATGTTTCTATTTTCTCTCAGAACTGTTTAAAGCAGTTACTTTACTGTGAGTTATTATTTGTTTTAATAAAGCGTAAATTTCTTTCTGCTTATTTGGTAGAGGTATTAAAGAGATCTATACGAGCCGTAGCACGCAATAATATATTATTAAAACTTTTAGCGAAACAGATCAACATAGTTCTGAATAATTTTAAGCAATGTTATTTATAAACACCAGTGTTGTAAAAGCATTTTGTTGTGCCTCTCACATACATCGAGAATAAGTCTGGCAACAACTGTAGTAAAAAATTGTGCATCGCTTGAATGGCAACAGCGGATGAGATTCCATACTTTTTGTTTTTAAATGCAGTCAGTTCTTCTTGTGATACTATTGCGTATTATTTATAAATATCAGTATCGTATTTCTAATGCCTAAGCATAAAAAGAAGCGAAAAAATGATAATATTATTTGTACTGACGACAAATGTAAACATTTAAGATAAATAAGTTTTCTTAGCATCATAATACAATTTTCAAATATTTTGAAATTATTAAATTTAAAGCGTATTAACATTTAAAAATTTAAACGAGTGGTCCTAAAAATTTTCATTATGACTGCTAGAATAACAGAAGAAAATATTTGGTCGTTTTTAAACCAATTTTGTTTTTAATTTAATTTAAAAAAAATGGAATCTCAGAAGGGAAAATTCTATTTAGTTTTACATCAGAGCAGTAGTATTCTATTAAATAATATATAAAAGAGTTCTTGTTTTGTTTTGTTTTGTTTTCAGTTCATTCAGTTTCATTCTCTAATTCCTGCGAAACACAAAATCCGTATTATTATCTACAGTTTATTTTCGCCCAATTTAATTTTTTGAGTTAAACTGCTATTTGCGAATCTGCGTGAGTTATTTTTTCTTTTGAATAAAATTTTAGTTTAATTTTGTAAATTTTAGTTTGTATTCTCACGACAAAAAATAATTCGCATTTCAAGCTCAAGATTAAATAAAATTGTTGCATTCCTTTAAGCAAAACTTTATTTTCTTTAACATTCCTTTTTGCCATTTTTTCATGGCTTGACGTTTTGTTTGATTCTTGTTAAAGTGCAATCGATTTAAACGACGCAGTACTTAATTATAATTCTTTCATGCAACGTTTCCCCACCAAGGGAAAAAAAAAAGTTAATTTGCCACTATGTTCTTATGATAAGATTTCTTTTTTTTAAAAAAATAGATAAACATACATCTTTGAAATCAAGTTACTCAAGCACATATTGCGTTTATTCTTTCAAAGATGTTTTGAAATACTTTAAAAAGGAAGAAAAGCTCACTGCGATGTGTATAAAAAAGCAGCTTAATAAAAGTCAGCCAAAATTATTAAGGCTGCTTAAAAATTAGCATTTATTAAGAGAAAAAGATAAATATTTTAGTAGCATAGAAGCGCTTCTTAAAGTTGAACTAAGTAAACTTAAAAGACACCTAAGAAATCTAATACCTGCGATCATGGAAGATTTCTAATCCCTTATCTATAAGTTCATCCTTTAGAATTATATTCTTGTTAAACTTTTAAAGCGTCTTTGTGGTTTCTAAGGAGGAAATTTATTAAAAAAGTTCTATGATGTATTTTCATATAATGATAAATATTTACTCTTCAGTATGCATGATACGTGAAGTAAGAAGGAAAGTAAATTTAAAATTCAAAATTCTTTAATGAGAAAGTAGTATTCCATACATGTGTTTCCTTGCTCTTTATAAATAAAATTAATTTCCACTTAAGACACAGAACCGAGATATTTAGATGGGCTGTTATTGACTGGCCGTGGCTATTAGATTGGCAGTGGCTGAGCGGTAAAGTCGCTGAACATTAGTAGTTCGGTGTAATATTCGAATCTCGAGAACGGGCTGTCTACATGGGCCCCCACCCCGGGGAATGAATCAGGCGAATGCCTGGGAAGTACTGGTTAGGATCTGTACCTAGGCAGTCTTAACCACGGGAGTATATAATTTGACTTCACAGGACTAGAGCCCGAGTATTGTACTCAGGTTGGTTCAGGCTTGGCAGGAACTGTACTGTCGTGTCTGTTCCTTCGGCTGTGGTGGAGCTTGTAGCGTTGCGCGCCTCCAACTTGCACGCAACCAAGAGGTGACTGTTGAAACTGGATAAAAGACAGTTAAGGGTTTAAGTCCCTTTTATTCAACTTTAAGAAATTACAATGCGTGCTCTTGACGCTCGCAAACTACGCCGACCCGGCGGTAAATAAAAATAAAAAACTAAAAAAAATAATAACATGACTCTAACTACGAGGCTCTCTAAACGTAACTAACCTCACCGCGTTTCTAAGATACCGCTGATAATTCAGCAAACTTCTGAAGCTACGTTGAACGATTGAACAAACTTCCAAGGCAAGCAACAGGCCGAAACGCGGGGTTCTTCAATTTCTAACTAACCACCTCCACGCTCGTGCAGCAAGAAACACACTTTCGAACTCGTTTCCCTTCTATTTAACTCAGATTACTTCCGCTGACAATTTGAATCCTTTGCGCGTTCTACTAAAATTTACATACTCTGGCATTGGCAATTCCAGGGGAAAGTAAGGCTTAACAGGAAAGATAGTTTAAACTTAAAATAAATGTAGTTAAAATAAATATAACCCTACAACTAATAGTGCATTTGTCGACTGAGTTCCCGGGGGTTTGACCCCATTCAGTTCTTTGGGGGGACTGACAAGCGGACAGAGCACCTTCTACAATGTGGTTTGCCGATGGAGTGGTGCCGGAGGCAAGGTGACAGAGTATCAATAGCAACGTTTAGTTCTGCCCAATGATTAGTAAAGCCGGACGGGGACTGCGGGGGTTGCGACTGCGCGGGCGAGGTCCCGCGCAGTCGCAACCCCCGCAAGGGCGTTGGATTTTCAACTCTGAATGGGTCCCGTATAATGAGGACCTGGGACGGAGGTCCCTCGCCTGGTGTGTCTGTCTACATGGGTGTTTTTGTGGATGGTTTTTTCCCATGAGCCAGTTTCCCTTAAAAAGTTTCCTCCATCCTTCCCCTTAGATAGCAGTCATCAAATAAACTAAAAACCGATATCATTCAGATTAAATAAGAAGAAGCTCGAAAAACACACATGCTTTTGTACGCATTCGCATCTTTCAACTTAGTATCAGAAGATTAATATAAAATAACTTAACATTCCGTAAGTTGATAATAATCAAACTAGAAAAAATAATAACGTATTTTTTTTTTTTTTTTATTTCTTTTTTGGAATAAGAACAGAATGCAAAAAAATATCAGGTTTTAACGGAAATTTCCTGCCACCGCAAATATCGTCGGGGCAAACATTTCGCGTTGGCGTATTTCATCAAAACGATTTTTGGCATTTGAAAGAAAGAGACTTGCTTTAGAACACTGTGTTGTGAAATTTGTAAAAAAAAAAATATCGTTATCATTAAGTACAAGGTGTCTGAAATCGAACTATCACGCTACCAGATTATAATCATCATTTACTTCCAATTCTGTTGCGAAAGGTCAGCTACAATATGCCACCAAATCGTGTGTATAGCTTTAGGTACTGATGTTTTATCATATAACACTGCGAAGGTTTGGTACCGAAAGTTCAGAAACAAGGACTATGACATTCAAGAAGCAGAGCGCTCTGGCCCGGCCTATTGATGTTGATGATGGCCGAGTGGGAGAACTTTTGGAAGATCAGTATGCAACTAGTCGAGAGCTTGCTAAGGAGTTAGACGTTTGCGCCATGTTCATTAGTCGCGCTGTGCATCTTATAAACTTAAAGTACAAGTTCAGTCGCTGGGTGCCGCATGAGCTGACAAGTACGGACGTATTGGGACCTGCACCAATCTGCTCGAAGACCAAAGCAAGTACAAAATTCTGAACCAGATCGTCACTTATGATGACAACTAGATTTACTTCAACAACACAGGCCGAAAAAGGGGTTGGTTTGCACACGGCGAGCCCGTCGGCAGCGTCGCAAAGAGCAATTTGATTAATAAAAAGGTTATGCTTTGTATCTGGTTTCATTGCCGTGGTATTATCCATAAGGAATGACAACTAGATTTACTTCAACAACACAGGCCGAAAAAGGGGTTGGTCTGCACACGGCGAGCCCGTCGGCAGCGTCGCAAAGAGCAATTTGACTAATAAAAAGGTTATGCTTGGTATCTGGTTTGATTGCCGTGGTATTATCCATAAGGAGTATCTGGGAAAAGGTAAAAACCTCGACAGTAAGGTATACAGCGAGATGCTACTCCGTGTTGACCCTGCTAGAAAGGAAAAACGTCGAACCGAGTTACGGTGCAAAAAGATAATGTTCCATTAAGATAATGCAAGACGACATGTGTCTGCATTCATTGGCTGGACTCTGTACGTACTCGAATGGGATCCTGGACATCGCTCCTTCGGATTTCTACCTTTTCTCGTACCTACAGCTACATCATGCTGGTTCTATTTTCCATTCTGAACAGGACGTCTAAAATGAGTTTGATCTATTTTTGGACTCACGGCCACCAAGTTTCTGGGCCAAAGGCTTTGAAAAACTACCAAAACATTGGCAGAAAATCACAGATTTGGGAGGTGGGTGATTATTACCCGCAACTAAAGGTACTGCTTTCATGTATTTTTTCCCTAACATTATTAAGAACGCTTTTTGGTGGAAAAATTTCGTTACAACCAGATAGGTAACACTGAATGTGCATGTAACTATTCACCGCATAAAAAAATATCTTTTAATTGTGTTGCGAAAACTTTTTTAATAGCTACTCGTGAAGTTTTGTGCGTTTTTTTATGTGGTCCCTATCCCCCGCCAAAAACAGGTTTGAGTATACAGTTATACATAGACTGGATCAAAATATCGTCAAGTTTGGAGACTTTTGGCAACAAAAATTAGTTGTGAAAGCCGCCGCCAGCTTGGCGATATCTTGCCAATTTAGCGAGATCATTTACCTTAATGTTTCTTGCTCCTGTTTCCCGCAGAGCTTCGTCTCTTTTAATTTACATTATACATAAAATACTTCAGTTTCACATATAAATTCACTATAATTATGTACATATATACAAAATTCCCAGCAATACATACACAAAGATTCTTCACTATTTAATAAGAGAGATAATTGTAGTTGTTGTTTTAAGCCCCCGTTGCCACATTTATTAATTAAATTTGTATTTCGGAGAGTTAAATCTTACCGTGCAACCAAGAGCGCAGCGGAGAAAAGTCAACACATTACTGGCTAGGGGAGCAGATCCGGTCACCAACAATCGCACTCGTCCACCCATATTTTCTTGAACTGGCTTGAAAACAAATCGATCCCAGACACTTCTATTTGTCACTATATGCCTAAAATGATGGTTCATAATACAGTAAATGGACATAATCTTGCACTGTTAATAAAATACAGTGTTTTGGGAAATACTTCAGAAAAATTCATAAATGTATTTTTAAAATTAACCAACGCAATTTAATAGTTCAAGGAATTTAAAGTTTATATATCAGACACTATAATATAACTGTAAATTTACGCTCAAAAATATAGGATGAGAATTTTAGAACATAACAATTCGCATTTTGAAGTGTTAATCATGGTTTGAGAAAAAAAATCTATTCTTTAAAAATTTAGAGATGTTTTAGTGAGTTTCTTACTGAATTAAAAAATTAGTTTCAGAGAGTGTTTGATAGCGAATAAAACAAATTTGATATGGACACCATATGACTTCCTTATTTGGCCTATTAAATTATACACATTTTTTTGCTGCATTTCATTTAAACTTGTTTCCTCGAATTTCATTATGGATAGATTTCTCATTCAATTGATTCAGTTCTCAATTCGCGGCAGAGCAAAAAATACGCAAAATGTCAAAACATTTTCATTAAAAATTGCAAAATACGGAAAAACAAAAAACACTAAAAATAGTTAAAACATTTAAAAAAAAAAAAAAAAAAAAATTACAAATAAAATTAGAATTTCTACGCAAAAACAGGCAATACGGCTAATCTATATTTTTTTGGTGCACAAAACGGAAAGCTTACTTTGGGTCCCATTCGGCAAAAAGACACTGAAAGCGCAGAAACTGACTTAATTCACTATTCTGCTAAGTTTCAAATGTTAAATAAATGGCGCGATTCGTTAGGCTTAACTTTTAAATTGTTGATAATTCTAGAATTATTGTATGCAGATTAACAAAAAGCAGAGAGAGAAAAAAAAAAAAAAAAAAAAACTTAACCTAAAAAAATCACACAATTCAATCACTTTTAAAGCAAAAAATGCACAATTTAACACCATATAAGAATAAAAATCAAGACAGGTATAAGATAGTGGGAATATAGTATATCTGATTGGTATGTAGGAGGTTCTGGTTCTAGTCCTGTGAAGTCAAATTATATACCCCCGTGGTAGAGACTGCCTAGATACAGATCCTAACCAGTACTTCTCAGGTGTTCGCCTAAGTCAACCCCCGCGGGGGGGTTGGAATCTTACAACTGTATTTAAAGAAAACAGCTCCTGGGTCCTGAGAAATATACGTTCACGTAACATCGTATTTGACTCGCATATTTTCCTCCTTTTTTTCCCCGCTAATTTTATCATACGAAAATCGAAAGAGGAAATTTATGAAAATAATGTAATTTCCATGAGCCATGGCCAACATCTTGAATTTAGTTACACGTTCGGAGAAGATTTGTAGCCATGAAGAGGAAGAGGTGCATGTTTGCGTGAATGTAGACAATTCTTTACGTATTATGCCATAATTAAGAAATGTCTTTCTTGCATAATTTATTTAAATTTTATTTTCGTATGACGTGACTGAATGATTGGAATAAAATTAATAAATAGTTTTTTCTGCATGCTTGACTAAACTTTTATTTACATAATGTTGCTTTCTACGGATTCGTGGATTTGGAATAATTGATGAAGAATGAAAGCGCAATTCATTTGCCAATAAGTACTATTACACAGAACAGTTCCATAAACACGTTACAGCCATCGAAAAACTGCGACAAACTGCCTGAAACAATCAGCAACACAGCCTTCAGGCTATCAGGCTAAAAGGGTGAAGACAGCATCACGACAAAGCACTAAAGTACAACTCCTGACTCGGTCGATCGCTCTCGAGCTAATCTCCGAACTCAAGACACCACTCTCGGGTACAGGCAGGGTATATATAGCTTTAACCTTCAAGAATATTCTCGGGAAAATCGCTAACAATGCGTTCTAGAATGCTCTCGGTTTGTTTATGGCATATCGCCAATTTTGTCGCCAAATGGGCTATTTCGCGCGCCAAATCTAGCAACCCTGCCTTTTCTTGCCACTTTCTTTCATCTCTGACCCCGCTTTGCGGGGAAGCTATCTTCGCAGCTGGGCATTTCGCAACAATATTATATGATACCCATGGAATCAATAAATTCATTTATAAAATTTTTTGTTCTTGTCTTTCTTTAGTAAATTTGGAACTATTAAAATAACCTAAAGAAACGTCCTCTTATATTAGATTCATGCCTTTTATTAATAGGTTAGTTAGTCTAATCTTACAATAGCATTTTTTTAAATTTAATTATTGCAATTATAAAATTTAACATTGCGGTTTAATATAAAGCTACAATTAAATAGTAATAAATTTAGTAATGCGAAATATTGAGAATGTGCATTTAATACGTCATATTTATTAGCTATTAATTTGTGGCTATTAATTTCGTTTTGGCATTTTGAGTCGATTCGCTTTTCAAATTGTTGCCACCAAATATTACAGCCCTGCATTATAATTAAAGAAAGTAAATAATAAAGAATCTACATGAATGTATATACATTTCTTCCTCTGTGAAAAAACACCGGTACCTAGAGCCATCGAACTTTGAATAACGTAGTCCTTCATTCGATTATGGGCATCTGGAAGCCCAAATTTGGAATATGCTTTATTATCTATTTCATATTTTGACAAACATTAAAGAAATTTTGAATAACAAGCTAAACGATTTCAAAGCGAGCAATGGCAACACTGCTACGTACGAAAAAAAATTATCTCCAGCACGCAAGACTTATGCATCGGAAATTCTAAAGATACGCTCTTTTAAATACTTTGCGATGTTGCTGTTGAATTGAATTTTATGGTTTAAGTGCGAAGAACATGATATTTAATAAGTCAAAACTCAAAACGTTAAAAAACAACCTTTTGGGCGTAATATAAAATTTGAAAGCTTTCGGGTTTTTTCTAATAGTTTTTTTTCCCTCTCCAAATTTTTATCAAATACAATTTAATTTTTAAACAGAAATATATTCGGTTTAAAATAAATCAGCATAAATAACAATGTGCCTTCTATAACCAGTCATGACGTAACAGATAAAGATCAATAATGCTTTTACTGTAAAAACTACATTCTTTAAACAATCAACATCCATACAAGATATGATCAACTCTCATGTGATTCGCGTTCATATTACGCAACTAATCATTATTCACGTGATCTGAATACAACGTCAATGAAATACCCACATTTCAAGCCGTATGGTCTAGTGACGTAATAGTACATCGTCATAGGTTAATATCTAATCTTTTCTGAAACTCATGTGGTCTAAAACTCACGGAAATTAAAATAATATGTTATTCTCCATTTTAGACCACAGACACTTGAGTCAAAATGTTTGAGTAACATTCTTCAAACGCAGCTCCCAATTTTTGCAATCGCACAATGCAAAGGGGCGGGTAAGAAGAATGCAGGGCCCCAATGAGAAAAGGGACATATGCTATGCTTCGGGCCTCCAAATTTTTACATAATGTTTTAAAATGTGTTGAAAGTTTTAAATGACTTTTTTTCAGCTCTGGGTTTTAGAAATACGAAATCAAAAGCAGGAAAATAAAAAGTGTTTAACTTTTTATAAGCTTTTATTTGGCTCACTTTTGATGTTATGGTCAAAAGTTTGTCATCAATTTTTAACCCTCTGAGTGCAATGACCGGCTACAAGAGTTTTTTGTCACTTTCATTAATAATATAAATGCCATCTTGATGAATGTAAGTTTATGAAAATAGAGATCAAAATAGGTAAATATATATATATTTAGCTAATGAAGGTTCTTTAAATGTAGGTACAGAATTCATGACAGATCCAAAAACCCGAGTCTCCCAGAGGGTTTTAAACTACTTTCTGATAAGCTATTGAGTTTAAATTTTGTATGCATACTGTTTGCGGATGGCAATGCAGTGTAGTAACATTTCTTTCAAAATTAAGTAATTTGGTTTGGAATTTTTCTAATTTGACGCTGGAACGGTTTCTCGAACACATATTAAAAATCCCAGAATTCTACGCTTTGCACCATCTGATAGAGCAGAAAAAAAAAAAAAATCTTTTAAAAGAAAATTATTCGAAATTTTTAACATAGTTTCTGATTGAATTTTCGAAAATCTCTCCACTTTTCCTATTATTTTCCTATTTATTCTAACATTTAAAAATTTCAACATCTAAAAATATATCTGCTATAAAGTTTTGAAATTTTCACAGCTTATAAAACAAACCTTCGCCCTCTTTTTTGACAAGAATAATAGAGACGATTAGGCGATTTTTCTTTGTTAAAAAACAAATAAATAAATAAAATAAAAAGTCTGAAAGATTTTAATTCCAAAGAGGCGTTTTTGAACGTTTTGTGTGTTACCATTATTTATTCAATATCATGTTTCACGTACTCAAGCCATAAAATTCAGTTCAACAACAATATCGCAAAATAATTTTAAAATGAGCACATCTTTAGAATTTCCGATGCACAATCTCGCGCGCTGGACATAATATCCCCCCCGGTACAATGATGCCATTGCTCGCTTTGAAATCGTTTAGTTTGTTAATTAAAAATTCGTTAAAGTGTTACAAAATATGAAATCGATAATAAAACAAATTTCGAATTCAAATTAGGGCTTCTACATGCCCATATTCTATGGAAGATTACGTTATTCAAATTTTGATGGCTCTAGGTACCGTTGTTTTTCACAATGCGAGAAACATACATACATTCATGCAGATTCTTCATTATTTAATTTTTTTAAATATAAGACAGGGCGATAACATTTGGTGGCAACAATTTGAACAGGGAAACAACGCTTATCGTGAATCGACGCAAAATGCCAAAACGAATTTAATAGTCCTTCTGGGCAAATTGCTCCTTTGGACTCAAAGGGAAAAAAAAAAGCGCTAGAAGACTATAGCGAAAGGGGTGGGGTGCGGTTCTTCCTTTGGCATCTCGTGATTAGTTTAGTTTCGAAGTTACGACATCATTATACGTCACGGTTTCGGTTCGTTTTGTTTGCTTGTGCACAATTTTTTTTTTTTTTTTTTTTTTTTTTTTTTTTTTTTTTTTTTT